CTTCTACATATAACTGAAGCTGTTTCAATAAGATCAATTAAACCATAATTTTATATTTAAAAAAAACACGTTCAGGTATTGTTCCTACCGTGGCCAAAATTGGATTAAGATTTCTCCCCTCCAAAAGTCTCGGTTCATCTTTTCTCTTCTTCTTTTGCTTTGTCTGTTATTTTATGTTTCCTTTTGTCTTCTTCTTAACAGTTTTGGTCACAATGTTTTATAACTTAAACCCATCATCCCAGCATTTCTTTTCCACACTTTCAAATTTTCCAATTATATTATTCCGATTGATTATTCGTGATATTTCCTTTTTTCTCAATATATGACCTTATCATTTTCCACGGTGATTAATTCATGATGAACTATTCACCATAGTCTTACTATGTCCTCTTTAATGCATAATGTTTTGCTATTTACCGACACCTTTTATAAGCTTTAACTGACTGCCATAATTTTCCCTCCCTGTTATAACTGTAGCGGATTGAGGTAAACTCCGTCGCCAATTTGTTATAACTGTAGGGGAATTAAATGAGGACGTTGTCACCTTGTTCTGTCTGCGCCTGACTAATATGCCTATCTGCTTCTGGTACCTTCCGATTCAGCGAACCACGCAAATATCAAAAGACAAAGTCTGGTCTGTGACTGTGTATTGTAGTACAACAACTACGACGACAAAGAAACTTATTTAGGAAATGGTATTTATACACTTTTACAACCAATGCAGACAGCTAACAGTATTTGAAATAATTGGTCGTAATAGTCAATAACAAAATGCGTGGAAATGATGATGTACCACTTATGCGAGATTAACAGTCGTTAAGATAATTGAACAATAACAAAGTGCGTGAGAATTGATGATATACCACTTATGCGAAATTAACAGTCGTTAAGATAATTGAACAATAACAAAGTGTGTGGGATCCTATCACTCCCCACATTGTAAGAATCTTTTATGACTAATCACCATCATCGTCTCGCATTTCACTATATTTTGTAATTGGAGCCAGCCAAGCACTTTTGCCACGGTAATATTACTTATTTTGTCACCTTGTAACTAATCTGTTATTCTACTTTGAAGTGAATCCGCCGCATAACTAGTCATTATTGTAACAAATACTATAGATTATGAATGAAAGAACCTAAAGCTAATTTATTGAAAAGAATATTCTTCGTCCAGAACTACTTTTACATCTTTTTTTCATTCTGTAACACTACGTAAACTAAATTTTCTTGGAATTTCTATACTGTCCGGTGGCTGCAACCTCTGAGTGAAGAAGGGACCGGAAGGACAGATTATCTAAGACGGAAATTAGACTTGTCAAGGAGGTCCTTCCACTCAATGACTAGCATGATAAACACATTCAAATTTGAGTGAGAGGAAAAAAGGCTAATGGATGATACGAGACTGACACTGACAATTTGCAAAATATTAGCATCATCAAAACGTGGAGATTCTGAACTTTCATAGTGGAAAAGAAACTTCAGAAGCTTGCAAAGAATTGCCAGCAGGGTTGAGCTTGGAACGATAACTTGGATCATCCACAAATTCACTGGCTTGTAGAACACAAATTATGTTATATTTAATAAACTTTCCAATGTTGTGTTAAATTATTTTTATTTTGTGGGACTAAGGGATTTCTCTTTCTTAGTTTCACTTGATTAAGACGACTGGTATACGGGTTCCGATGTGGGACGTTTCAGTTATGACTTTGATGTTAATATGATGTCATTTATTGGGTGGCGGTTAGCAATAGAATCCACTTGATATCTAACAGCATATCATGTTTACTGTAGAAGGGTTTTTTCATCAGAAAACAGAACCAAATAGATAATTACTAATAACCAAGAACTACATGGATATTGCCTCGAAGTGAAAATTCATGACTCTATTCAAGCATCCAGCCCGAGCGTCAGATTTGTCAATTGTCATGTTATCGTTCGATTAAGAGACTCACGTTTCATTCTAGGTTATGTCAATTCGTTTAATTTAGTCCATGAATTTTTCGAAACGAGTAACCGTGATATTTGATGTGTCATAAACTTACATAGAATCTTTGCGCTGCAACTTTTTGAAACACGTACTTCTTACCATACCTGAAGGAACCAATCAGCCTATATGTATATACGAATGCTTTAACATTATATAATTATTTGGTCTCTGATAATATCTTGAGCTACTGCCTAGTCAGTTTTGGTGTACATGTTTCGTAATAGTTGAGAATATTCGTCTGGACTACCATTCCATTGTGGGTAAAATTTATTTTGATAAAGTCTCACAGTGTTATACAGTAATATTTGCTGATGACATTTCGAGCACAATTTATTGCTCATAATCATATCAAGGTACTCATACAACTTTCTAACTTCGTTTATATAATTCCATTATTTTTCATCTCTTGACTTGATTGAAAGAAGTATTTTCCACATCTCTGGTATTGGTGATGATTCAATCCTATTGTATGTGTCCTGCTGGGTGATGAACAAAGATTCAGTAATCAACCTCTCCCCCTATCTACCTATATTACCTCTTAGAATTTTAACCCTCTCCCACCCTATTGTATGGTTGTGTGTTAATGCATAAATGTTTTATTGCATAGAATACTACTACCAAGCGATGAAAACTAATGGAATTATATAAACGACGTTAGGAAGTTGTGTGAATACCTTGATGTGATTATGAGCAATAAATTGTGCTCGAAACATCATCAGTAAATATTACTGTATAACACTGTGAGTCCTTTGAATCTCAGAAGGGACATGAGTTCCTTCAAGTTTGCAGATACGCCTTGCTGATGAGTGCCAACTAGCACGAAACCTAGGTCCAAGGCTTCCTGTGGCCGATCGCCTCCAACCATCTAATATCATCAAAACTGTGAGACTTTATCAAAATAAATTTTACCCACAATGGAATTATACTCTACCACAGTGCACAAATTCTATTCTTATATCGCCGTAAATAGTTCCTCATTTTTTGTATTCTTTTATAAGCACATCGGTTTAAGGTTTTATTTTGGAGCTTTTCCTTAATGCAGATAATTTAAAGTTATTAGGCCTACTTGTTTTAATGAAATCAATATACATTACTAGAAACATAATTTAATGATTTCAGTTAATCACTACTTAAAAAGATATCATTCCCAGTGCGAATATAATAAATTCATATTGTAAGCCTACCATGCTTGATGGTAGCTTGCACCAATCCTAGTTGAAATTTAAAATTGTAAATTACTCTACGAAATACCTCCGATTGATATTCATAGTAATTCTATGACGTTTGAGTTTTATTTACTTCAGATGCCTAGTAATCAACTCTTGATGAATATCATAAGGAATTAAAGTTCCTAAATAATTATTATACTTTATTTAACACTTTATCTTACTGAAAATAAGTGCACTTGCTAAACCATGCCATTTGTCAGGATTAGTAAATATGAAGTTGTCATAGGCAAGTACTGCTGAAGAGTTGCAAACCCGGAGGAAACAGTTATACAATACTTCCCGGTTATCAGAGGATCTCTATCTGATGTCAGTTTGTGATCTAACTTAAAATTTTTAAGTAAGAGTGCAAAACGGACCAGGAGGAAAGAACATATAAGATAGGAAATTAGACTTGTCAAGGAGGTCCCTCCACTCAATGACTAACATGGTAAACACATTGAAATTTGATTGAGAAAAAAAAAGCTTAGTGGATGATACGAGACTGACACTGACAATTTTCCAAATATTAGCATCATCAAAACGTGGAGATTCTGAACTTTCACAGTGGAAAAGAAACTCCAGAAGCTTGCAAAGAATTGCCAGCAGTGTTGTACTTGTAACGATAACTTGGATAATCCACAAATTCACAAGCCTGTACAATCCAAATTGTTATATTCAATAAACGTTCCAATGTTTCATTAAATTATATATATATATATATATAAATATATATATATATATATATATATATATATATATATATATATATATATATATATATATAATACGTATCTTCTTCAAAAATCAGCAACTTTTGGACGACAATTTAAATGTGATGTATGAATTTGTATAAAGTCGAAGTGTAGCCTTATATTGATATTTTTGAAAATAACATTGTTCACCTAAATGGCTATCTGTCTATTGGTTAATATATATCAGACTATCCAGAAATTACCTATAAACGACTGTGTTCAAAGACACTTAGTTTACCCACTTCACATTCATGTATCCAAAATCTGTAGAACATTGTAGAAGTACCTATGATTTTTACTAGATGTCGTACTCTTCAAAATAACAAAGTAATGTGGGAAATTGTAGAAATAGAATTAGTTAGGTGGGTTGATTTCCATATATTTACGGTAGAATTCAACATTATTATTAAAACTATCAATTAACATTAACAGAGTATTATTGTTAATTTAGTTAGGCGTTATAGTTTTAACTACGAAAAATTTGGTGCATGCTCTTTGGTCAGTACTAATTCCCTTTCAAATGCATTCAAAGGTCCACCATAAATTCTGTTTCTTGTAATCGGTTAACATGGTGTTCATGAAAGACTTTTCCCATGAATTCATGATAGTTTGTCTTAATATGTTTGATGCTATACATCAGAACTTTTAGGTTATAACGTGACCCCATTTATCGTGTAGTCACTAGGACGGATTGCAATAGCCGTTGGATTGGGTCCCAGTGGCATAATGGTCTGTGAGATCACCTTGTTACCAGAAGGTCCTGGGTTAGAACCTCGGTGGGTGCGTACTGATGAAGAGTCCCAAACTAAGACGAAACAGCTCTCCAGTACTCCTAGGTTCTCTTATGCTCCTCTAACTGATGTCAGCTCATGATGAAATCCTGCACACCAACACTTGAGCCCTTTTTTTTAACTGATATCAGTTAATTTTACCAGAAAAAATATCAAACTGGTTGTGTACACTAAGACAGTAGCGTGTTATTCAAAAAATGAAAATTTATTTTATGGTTAAAATATCAAGTTAAAAAGAAAAAGAATATAAAAAAAGCATTTAAAAACAAGTTAATAATTACATCAGGTTAGGAGTTAAATACAACCAAGAAATAAAAGAAAAAAATAATAAATATTGCACTTTAGAGAGAGAGAGAGAAAAAAAGTAACTAATATAAATATTATGCCCATTTCTGCAACTATATACTTCATTGAAAATCATTGTGGTATTCAAAAAATGAATTACTGGTCAGGAGTTGATTTGTAATGCTCACGGATTCTGTCATTGAAGTGTATAAACCCACTTTGATAACATGCATTTATTTGACATGGTTTTGTTTCAATGAATTAGGATAGTAATTTTGTATATAGTTTGGAACAGTCAATAGTTCTGTATACACGAGTAGCAAGAAGATAATTATCTATAAAAGGAAAAACATACAATATATCTCAAGTGATAAGTTGTCCTTTTAACATTTGTGATCAATACAAACTTGATTTACCTTGTGTATTTCTTTAAATTGTATCATATAAAATTATAGACTAGTATTAATAACCTACATTTGATAGGTGGGGAAATGAATGATTGGTTTAGAAGGCGCTTTTGAATCTCTTAGAAAGGGAGAGAGGGAAAGTGGTTTCCATTACCAATCACTGTCAGTTAAATAGTCAGTGAAAATATGTACCTATGTGTACATCTAGGATTGAAGCCACTATCGTCGAATCGAATAACAGGTGGGCTTTTGTTTATTCACGATCAAAATTTATTGGTGCATACTTTAAACTTCTACGAAGTCATGATACAGTACTATTGTAACCCAGTGTCACTCGAGAGTAACTTCCTTTAGAGCAAACTTTCAGATACTATCGGTGTTAATTCTCGTTGAAACTTCAAGGATTTATCCCCGTGTTACTACAATAGTGAACACTGTTTTCAAGTTTATAGAGAAATTACTAACTTTGAAGCTGTTATTATGAGTAATCAACATTATTTGGAAGCAAGAAGAGCATAAATAACCAAGAAATAATTATATAAAGGACGGAGATTCAGAAGAAGATAAAAAGTCAGTTAAGCCGTGTACTGATATTCTGTGTATTGAATATATATAATTGCTTGGAATCTCTAAATCTTAACATTATAGGTAATCCAAGTCACCTAAGTGTCGTTACAGAGATTATCAATGATTTTAAAATCTTATTTTCATAATGATTGTGGTTAGCTGCTTGTTATGATGCTAGATGCTTTGTCACACGGTCACTGCTTAACTACTGACCAGTGCCCACTTAACTGGTAAAGCAGAACACGAAGAGAATCAACGGTAAAACCTGGTTCATTTATTATGACAAAAGTGACTGTATTTATACAAAAAATAAGGAAATCAACCAATCCGGTTGAGAGTTGGAATTGTGCAAGCGTCCAATCAGAAGCAGGAACAATTGCATGTCAACGACTTGTTAATAACGCGATAATAACTTGATAATTGCATGTGTTTTGCCTCTTCCTAACACTACTTTTCTTGGCTTATTCACTAAATCTTCTAAGACTACATTACTGTGTGTTGTGATTAGATTTCAATGATTAATCGGTGGATGGAAATATTTGTTGAGTGAGCTACTTAACTGCTGAGAAAAGTGCTTCAATACAGTCTAGGATGTGATTGATGTCATCAGTATTGATCTGCACTAATATCGTCTTCAATTTCTTTACTAAATGAGATTTGATTTAAGAATACATAATTACCTAGTATGTTTCATTTATTCGACAATACTAGTCGAATTTTAATTGGTGTGTGAGATTATTTTAATAATATTCTCCATCAATCCTATGGATTACTTTTTATAGTTCAAATTTTATTTTATTTTGATTATAGCTTGAAACCACACAGCATTTTTGGTACAACTATGGAATTTTCAGCATGTGATATCGGTAGCCCAAATTTTGCAGGCCGACCATTGATATCAGGTGTGCGATGGCAGGGTATCGAACCCCGGACCATGTGCATGGTCGGCGAGAGTCTTAACCACTGTGCCACAGACGCTATTGTGTGAACAACTCTCAAAATACATCATTTCCATTCTATGTTATCAAAATTAGTTCACATGTATAGCATAGTTAAGCTTCCAGTTTGATCAATAGTTTCATGCACTGCATTCCATGTTTTTCTCATCTACTAAACACTTTAGTTATATTCTTTAATTAGTACAATTTCTAGTGTTCCTATTTTCCTTCATTCTAAAAGAAAATGCCTGCTTCTATTAGTAAACTGAATCTTACAATATACATGATTTTTCAGATTCTTAACTTGAATCAAGTTTGCATTCTAAGAACTTCATTATGACAAATTCAGTAGAATAATTCAGGATGAATAATGTACTTTGTTCGTATGTTTGTTCTATTAGAATCTGCAATTAATAGTGTTCTCTGAGCTGGTTGGTTTAGTTGCGGAGCTTTCGTCTTCCTTCTGGACAACATCTTCAGCGCAATATTTAGCTCCGCAACTAAACCAACCAGCTCAGAGAACACTATTAATTGCAAATCATCCACCTGAGCTACAAATCTTCTCTATTATTTCTATTAGAATCTGTTGAGAATGGTTAGTTGAGCACAGTCAGTCATCCAGTCTGGTGCCATGCATACATATCTCGTTGGTGTTCGTTTGATGAACACACACACACAAATGACTACGTTTCGCATCAATACCGTATATGACAGTCTTAAAAATAGGCTTGAATATTGTGAATGAATAGATCTAATGTGTAAACTAGTCAATTCAGTGATTGTTTTAATGAGGAACTAGAAAACTTCGTACTAATTTGTAGATTTTCCACGAAATAGTGATGGCTTAAACCTTGAGTGTCATTGTATGTAGCGTATTTCGCATCGGCAACATAAAAATGTTGAGTGTAAGTGATTGCCGTAAACCAAAAGTTAGTGACAAGATGGTATCCCATAGCAGAATTTAAAAATTTTAAAACAGTTCCCTATTATACAGTCTGATGTACAGCCCCTACTACTGCCCTGGCCCTCAGTAGAGACTATAAACTCATGGATTTGTACTATTAGCTTTCCTAATTCTTCTGACATTCAGTTTATTTTATGTTGATGCTGTTCAGCTGTAATTTATCAATATTATTGATTTGATGTTATTTAAACATTAATGTCGTTCATAAGACTCATTCATTCATTCATTATAATGTATATATAATTGTAAAACCTGATGATGAATTTATCGAAAAGAGTACTCTTTGTTTCGTGTCCATTCTTTTCAAGATTATCAAACGTCGGTGGTTCAGAGATCGAATGTTCCCAAACCAAAAACATGGTCTGGCCGGGTTCGATTACCGGCCTACGTAGTCCTAACCATCACCTCGTTTACTAGGTGATAGGAAGGCCAGAAATGAGAGAAGGGTGCGTTTTGCTACCAACGAAACACCGTAAAAAAATCAACAGAACCACTAGTGGGACTTTAAAAGCTTGAAGTTTATTGTTCCACTGAGAAGGCAAGGAACGGAAAAAGGTATTAGATTTCCTGACCTGCACATAAATAAGAGAAATGCCCAACTTATTTAGTTCTGTAAGCAGTCTTCAGCTTACATCTCAAAGTTGACAATATCCTAGTAAAATGAGCCACGTGTGATATATTTTTGCTTGGTGTGATTGACTTTTCTAGGTTGTCAACTTCTAAGCATTGGGTCTCGGATTTGAATCCCTCTGTTACTATCGAATGGTTCCGGCAGTTAATTAGTATCACTGACTTACACAATAGTTGTAATGTTCATTGCCAAAGGCACACAAATGAGTAATGTTTATTATTCCTCCTTCCTAGTTGGCTGATATTTTAATCGATATCTATAAATGTTAGCATATAGCAGATGATCCGTGAATTCACACAATGATAATATTATTCAAACTATCACTGCAAAATAAAATCACTGGAAAAGAAGAAATCTTGTGGGTTGTAGACCCATGCAAAGCATTCTTTCAAGGGATACGGATAAGTCAAGAATCACTGTATCCCCTTAATGAATTTGAACAAAGCAAGAACTACAATTTTTGCAGAATAAAATGGTACCATCTTTTATTTCGTTGCCTTCTCGTCAGCTGCTTACAGGGCAAAGACATTATTAAATGTATCTACAAAAACAATTTTAACATACTTGCACAGAGTTAAAATTGTTTTTGTAGATACATTTAATAATGTCTTTGCCCTGTAAGCAGCTGACGAGAAGGCAACGAAATAAAAGATAGTACCATTTTATTCTGCTAAAACTGTAGTTCTTGCTTTGTTCAAAATCACTGTATCAATGCGACCAATAATTCATAAAATTCTTTATGATTTAAAACTTTAAATTTGACGATTTGTGAGAATTTAGAATGCTAATTTCAAGGAATACACACATATCCCTTTCGTTCATGAAGATCAAAAACAAGATACTTCATCCATCTAAACGAATAAACAAAAAAAACTCTTATCCACCATTAAAAGTTAGTTTATGACAGTATAAAAAGAAGTAATTCTTTTCCTCAGTATTAAAAATTCAGAGATTTTTAAATGAAAGATTAGAGTTTAATTAAAGCATTTTAAATACTTACCAAGAGTGTTGCAACTGTTAATCCTACTCCAAGAATATATCGACTGTATGTATTAACATAGTCAACAAAGAGATGATAACAACCCTGTTAAGAATGATTTTTAAAAAAATGTATGCATGTAATTATTTGTTAAGATTGATTAGCAGTTGGCATTGCAATTATTGACATGGTATTTAATCCTGTTTCAGACTTTGTAAGTAAATTAACTGAACTCTACACTACTTTGTTTATTAGATGTATGATTGCATGGAGGATTTCATCATGAGCTGATATCAGTTAGGGAACGACTGGAAAACCTGGGAGTACTGGACAGCTGTTTCGTCCTAGTTTGGGACTCTTCACAGTACGCACCCACCGAGGTTCGAACCCAGGACCTTCGGGTCCCATTGGCTCCATGGTCTACGAGCTCGCCTTGTAATCGGAAGGTCCTGGGTTCGAACCTCAGCGATGCAGACTGTGAAGAGTCCCAAACTAGGGCGAAACAGCTATCCAGTACTCCCAGGTTTTCCAGTGGTTCTCTAACTGATGTCAGCTCATGATGAAATCCTCCATGCAATCAAACAAAATCCGTAGCAAACCAATACTTCAATATTAGATGTATCACACAGTGAAACAGTATTATTATTTACTGGATGACAAAGTTTCGAACACAATTTATTGTTCATAATCATATTAATTATAATCACATGACTTCGAAACTTGAGTTTTATAGTATTCTTTGTTCTTTCCTATTTGTCGTAGGTGTAGTAGAATTTTCCAGATGTCTAGGACAGATGTTGAATCATTTCTGTTGCACGTAATTTCAGTTGATTTGAAGCATGAAGCTTCCATTATCAATCTCTTCCTCCACCCTGTAATATTAGATTTGAAGACTGTCATCTTATCCCCATCAATAACGGAAGCTTTATTCATCGAATCAACTGAAATTACGTGCAACAGAAATGATTCAACACCTGTCCCGGATATCTGGAAAATTCTACTACCCCTACGACAAATAGGAAAGAACAAAGAATACTATAAAACTCAAGTTTCGAAGTCGTGTGATTATAATTAATATGATTATGAACAATAAATTGTGTTCAAAACTTTGTCATCCAGTAAGTAATAATACTGTTTCACTGTGTGATATATCTAATAAACAAATTAACATGGAATTACTTACTACCACAGTGTCCAAGTTTTACACGTATCATAAATTAACTGAAATTTTGATAAGCTAATTCAGAAGAATTGGTATCGATCTCATCAAACTTCACTTCATCCATCAAAGTGCTGCTGACTGCATTAACTAGCTAGGCATACAGTCCCTTCACCGTCGACACAGTGTGGCACCACAAACCATGTCCTTCCTGCTTTTCTTATGTTGAACTAAATTAACTGTCAGCAATTATGGTTCCTTATAATATTAGTCTTATTTCCATGGTATAAATTGTCTCCGTCAGTTGAACCTAGCGCCTTAAAACCATAACAAGAGATTATAAAGTATTTTCTCAAAGAAATACTTGTAGCGCCCTTATATTAACTTTAGCTGTACGCTTATAGAACTAATTCATGTACGCTTATTGTAGGTTTACAGAAACTAATTTTACATAAGCTTGTGGCATATTTGCCATTGTATATTTGAATATTGCTTTTCTTTTGTTATATATATGTATATATTACGTGGTTATATACTTTTTTGTTCGTTTCACGCCTTTCGAAATTTGATTTCGTTAACAATACATCTTTTGAAGTTTTCACTTGTGCTTCTTAATACAACGTTGTTCATCTTTGACCGTGTACATCGTTAGCACATCGTAGAACGTGGAAACGTGGATGTACTATTGTATCATAATTGAAAGCATAATAAGTACACTATATATTTACTACCATGTTCTTACAATAATTTGAACAAGATGTTGGAAATAGAATTAAGCAGTTAACAAAAAAATTATGGTTGGCTGTTTAAGTAATCACGTGTAGCTGTGTCTGTGAGGAACTACAATACCTTAAGAAACAGATTTCCAGTATTTAATAGCTGGAAAATGTGCTGACACTAATTAATAAGTATCATGATATATCAAACCATATGGTATCATTAAGGGATAATAAATTACTGTTTCACTATGCGACAAATCCAATAGATAAATTAATGTGGAGTACATCCGAGGAGTATTCTAATACAGGCACCTCCGTAAAAGGTTGTATCCTCTTAGGTGTCTTATCGTTAAAAACATTCAAGGTGTATATTCCCTTAGTGTATGTGAAACTAAATAACTTTCCCTATTTAGATGTTGAATCATTCGTTCATATAGAAAATAATCTACTGACGTTTAAAGTAAAAGAATAACCATAAAGATTTAAAACACAAACCTTATTCATATTAACCTTGAAATCTACCTAGAAAATATCTGTTGGGAATCTGTAAAACCCTTCGGCGTTATGTAGTTATAAAATTAACTCCTAGTAATAGGATAAAATAACCTCGCCTAGATTACTAGGTCACTAGTATTCTAGCCGGTCCCAAGCCCGGATAAAGAGGGAGGGTTGGGGCGTGGTGCTAGCAACTCCACCCCCAAAACTTAACCAAATTGCTACTAAAACTTCAACGCACAAATATATTCAAAATTCTAAAATTACAAATAGTGACCTTATTTTTCGCTGGAATCGGGGAAGTGAAATGACGCGGGCTGGTGAAAGCCTTCGGGAAGCCAGTCAGCCGATGTGCCTTCTTTCGATGAAAGCGAAAATAAGGATGGGGACGTGGAATGTCCGTACAATGTACGAAGCTGGGAAGGCTGCTCAGGTAGCCGCAGAAATGAGGAGATATAAAATAGAAGTGTTGGGAATCTGCGAGAGCAGATGGAACGGATGTGGAAGGAGCCAACTATCAACTGGAGAGACAATAATCTACTCCGGTCACCCAGAGGACAATCACGAGCACACCGAGGGAGTAGCCATCATGATGTCACCAACAGCGGCTAAAGCTCTCATGCAGTGGGAACCAATCTCCTCCAGGATAATGACAGCCAGGTTCAACTCAAAAGGAAAAAAGGTTACAATCATTCAGTGCTACGCGCCTACAAACGCCTCAGAACATGAGAAGAAGGAGGATTTCTACAGTCAACTACAAACAGTAATGGACAACGTCCCAAAGAGCGATATCAAAATCCTGATGGGCGACATGAATGCGAAACTAGGAAGAGACAATACAGGAAGAGAACTCACCATGGGTCGTGAGGCCCTCGGTGAAATGAACGAAAATGGTGAACTCTTCTCAGACTTCTGCGCCTTCAATGATTTGGTGATTGGTGGCAGTGTGTTCAAACACAGGGATATACACAAGGCAACATGGATTTCACCAGATGGACACACCAAAAACCAGATAGACTTCATTTCAATCTCAAGGAAGTGGAGACGGAGCCTACTGGACACAAGATCGAGGAGAGGAGCAGATGTGGGTTCAGACCACTATCTGGTACAAGGGACTTTCAAGGTGAAGCTGAAAGCCTCGAGGATACCTGGGGATAGGCCACAATGCAAGTTCAACACTCACAAACTGAAGGACACAATCACACAGGACATTTTCACTGCAACTGTCAGAGCAAAGCAGGAAACACTACGTGGCACCACTGAGGAATCATCCGTGGAAGACCATTGGAACTCCCTGAAGGTAATTTTCAACGAAACGTGCTCAACGGTTTTAGGAAGAAAGAAGAAACAAGACAAGGAATGGCTCTCAACGGACACTTGGAAACTAATAGAGGAGAGGAGAATGGTGAAAGAGAAAATGATTCAATGCAAAGATGGACAAGAGAAAGAGACGCTGAACTCAACTTACACAGCACTGGACAAAGAAGTGAAGAAGAGTGCCAGGAAGGACAAAAGACAATTCTACGACAACCTGGCTACTGAAGCTGAGAAGGCAGCAGGCAAAAGGGACCTGAGGACACTATATCAGATAACCAAGTCTCTATCCGGGAAGAGATCAACACAAGTGAAACCTATAAAAGACAGCCAAGGGAACCCAATTACCAAAGAAGAAAGACAGATTAAACAATGGGCGGACCACTTCAAAGGACTCTTGAACCGACCACCACCTACAACCCGTCCAGTAATACCAACAACAGCACGTACACAACTGCAAGTTGACACCAATCCTCCAACGAAAACTGAAGTCATGAATGCAATCAAGCTTCTGAAAGCTGGAAAAGCAGCTGGACCAGATGGAATACCCCCGGAAGCACTGAAAGCGGACCCAGAAACGACAGCAGATATGCTGACTCCATTATTGCAAAAGATCTGGAAAGAGGGAAAGGTGCCTACTGACTGGAGGAAAGGTTACCTGGTGAAACTACCAAAGAAGGGCGACCTGGGACTCTGCAAGAACTGGCGAGGAATCATGCTCCTGTCGACGCCAAGTAAAATCCTGAGTCGCATCATCCTGGAGAGAATCAAGGACGCGCTGGATACAGAACTCCGACCAGAACAAGCTGGATTCAGGAAAGGCAAATCATGTTCTGACCAAATTGCAACTCTACGCATTATCATCGAACAAAGCATGGAATGGCAATCAAATCTCTACCTCAACTTCATAGACTTTGAGAAGGCCTTCGACAGCGTTGACCGCGAAGTAATTTGGAAACTACTCGAGTACTACGGCGTACCGCAAATATTCATCAACCTTATTCAACAACTGTACGACAACGGCACATGTCAAGTGATCCACAACGGAAAACTCAGCGAGGCGTTTGGAGTAAACACAGGAGTCAGACAAGGGTGCTTATTATCACCAATGATATTCCTAATTGTGGTGGACTGGATTATGCGTCAGACAGTGGGAAACGAGAAGACAGGGATATCCTGGACCGACGTGAGGAACCTAGAAGACCTGGATTTTGCGGATGATTTATGTTTGATGTCACACAAAATCGAAGACTTACAAGCAAAAACCGACAAACTGGTGGAAGAAGCAGCAAAGACAGGACTCCAGGTGAACATAGACAAGACGGAGGTTATGAAAATAACCAACCAACAACAGCAGCAACATCCAGTGCCAATCACCATCAACGGGAGGGATTTGAAAGAGGTCACTTCTTTCACTTATCTGGGGAGCATTGTCTCAACCACAGGAGGAACGGACGAGGATGTCAAATCGAGAATCGGGAAGGCGAGAAACACATTCATCAACCTGAAACCAATCTGGAAATCTTCGTCACTCACCATCAACAACAAAATTCGGATTTTCAATACAAACGTCAAGTCAATTTTGCTTTACGGATCAGAAACTTGGCGGGTCACCAAGAATATTTTCAACAGGTTGCAGACCTTTATCAACAACTGTCTTCGCTCCATACTGAAGATTAGATGGCCGGAAAGAATCACAAACAAGAAGCTATGGGAACAAACGAAACAGGAACCAATCGCCCAACAAATATGCAGGAGGAAGTGGAGATGGATTGGACACTCGCTGAGGAGGCCGTTGAGTGACATCGCGCGTCAAGCCCTCGAGTGGAACCCGAAAGGGAAGCGGCGAGTGGGACGTCCAAGGGTGACATGGAGGAGATCGTGTGAGGAGGAGATGAAACAGTATGGAATAACATGGACGCAAGTGAAAAGAACAGCAGAAGACAGAAGCAAGTGGAGACGTGCAGTTGAAGCCCTATGTTCCACTAGGAACCCAAGGGAACAATAATAATAATAATAATAATAGGATAAAAGCCACACTATCACACATTTGCACCTTTTCTTTGTATTTCTTTGCATTCTGAGTGGAACGTAGGTCTTCAGGTGTTTTTATTTTTACGGCGCACTTTCATTTCCAATCTTCCCCCTCTTTTCAAGGTTTACTAATGACTAGGTGAATTTTAGGACTGTGTTGGTCTGACTGGTTAGCATTCTACCCCCGGACCACTGACACTTATGTTTGCATGCGGGAACTTTTAAAATGGATTTAATTTAGAGTTTCGAAAATGTGCTCTTCAAATCAACACCATTATCAAGGTGGTTGTAATGAATAGTTTTGAAAAATGATAATAATAATAATAACATTTAGCTTACACGATAATACAATGCATCATTATGTGGACCATCTTGAAACATCGGTGGACCATATTGCCAATTTTTACAACGTTTCTTATTACGATAAACTTGTAATGGTAATCCCGTTAAACCGTCGATTAAGGTAACACAACATGATTCCGGGACAAATTGATAATAATCACTTGTGCCTAAAATGAATTCGTTAAAAATGTTGAGAAGTTTAATTTGAATACTATGAGGAGTTTGTGTTTAGGACGGGCAAACTAAGAAGGGCAGCGATAGCAGCAGCAGCAGTAAACTAGCTTGTAAAATGGTTATGCAGGCAGATGATATATAAAACTGTGAGATAAACAAGCAGAAACTGATACAGCAAATATCTCAATGATAGACAAGTTATAATCCAGTGAGTTACTGTTTATTAAAGTCATAACTTATTATCTTGGTATCGTGGCTGTGTGCATGGGCATTTCTGTAACGACAGAACACGGTAATACACAGTAATACAGTGAGATGCAGAAGCCTTAAATTTGAATCCCCATTTGCACATGCTCTTCAATTCGAGCTTCTTTCATCTTCCTTTCATGCCTTCCATATTTTTTCTCAAGGATAACTTGTCTTTTTTTGTAACTTAAACAGTTGCTCAACTATTCAACAGTCTTACAGAAGACATCACACGTAATATACTACTCACAGAATCTTGTTAGTAGCACACACTACACTACATTAATATGGCGATTGCGTAACAAGATTTAGTTCAATGTCACAGAATCATTTGATAAGCACCGAAATACACATCAAATTTTGACAATTTCATTGGCTTTAACTTACTTCAATTTGAATTCTGAAATATGAATAGTATTTTGATTCAATTAAATGTAAACTCAGTTTAGTATAAATAAAAAATAAAAAAATTAATTATAGCATAATAAATTTTGATACTTTAACTAATTTACCTCTCGGATAAGAAATGATTGGCAGCAATCTCAGCAAACCAATAATTCTGTATTTACATCACCTCATTTTTGTTAGCAAGCCCTACTGTCTTTTTTGTGAGTGATTTTCTGTTTTACTGGTCGTATAAATCTCTCACTAATGTACTGTGCAGCTCTTTTTCTAGAAACCTCTACTAAACCACTTATTGTATCGAGCATTTAATACTCTATACTTCAATGTAGTCCTACTGGCTGATGATGGATTCTGTTGTGTGTTTTTTCTTCATACTAACCGCATACGTAATACAATCCACTGCCTTGAATACAAAATATTAATTTATCTTCTCCATATTTAACGAGCTTATTAGGACAAATCATCATCTGCTTAACCACTTTTCCAATTGCATCCAGGTCTGTCCATTCAGAATAAAATTACAGGTCACACAGTTGCTTGGCCATCGGAAAGTAACCCATAATTATATTCGACTTAAAAATGTATTCGCCATATACTTGGTTGTTATTGTTAGTAATATAATTCTATTTTATAGTAGTAGGAACCCGAAAACAATATTATTTCCTCTAGCCAACTTTTATGTCTATTAGATTGCTGATATAGAAGTTGTAAGAAAAATGTTACAGTATGCACACATACGTGGAATCAGTTCGCCATGATAATGTATATCTGCATTCGTCAATTTATACCAAACAGTTTGATTGTAATCAACCCAACCACGATTTCGTAGAGCACAACATCTAAGATAACTTTGCATAAAATCCCAGGCGTTTGTTATTGTCATTACTTGACCATAACTTGGAAATGTATCAGTCATTCGATTGTAAATCAATTCTGTCATCTAGAAATAATATAGAAGGTAAAAGGAGTGTGATGACAAAGCGATTATTCCCCACATAAAGTGATCCAAAAAAGTGATTTTAAGGTTATTCATCAAATTTATCCTAATCTGCTGCGTTGTCTTGTTTTTAAACTTCTGTAAACAGTGGAAGCCTAAGCTATTCATTAACAAATTTCTAACCTTGGAATAAAAAGAGGGGGCGTATAGTTGTTATTATTACCTGGAATACAGTATATTTCATTAGATTTTTGACAATCTTCAGACTAATCAGTTCTGTTATTATCGTTACCTGTGCTTTAAATGGTCAACAGTAATGGGTTCTAAAGATTCAGTATTAAAAGGTCACTCTGTTTCATTTAACCTCCCTCAGTATTATCATACAAGTTTTTCAAGTGTTAGCTTACCGGGATTTGACTGATTTCAAGTTATATAACCAGGGTCGCTTGATAATATGAAGGTCCTGGGTTCGACCACTGGTATAGTCATGTATGCGTATTGCTTAAAAATTCGCGAACTAGAACGAAATAGTTGTTCGAGTACCTACTGGTTTTCGATGGTCCTCTAAAAGATATCAGTTCATGTGCAAACACGGGATTGATTTCTGCTTTTTTCTTTATTCACAGCTTCCTCACTTTTGTACATTACGTGAATGACATTCTGCACATCTGAGATGCCTCATTTCGCTTTTTTTTCTGCTCTAATTATTATTCTTACTGATAACTCTAAAACATTTCAATTCCCTTACAGAATAAGAAATTTTTTATCATGCGTTCCATGATGAAACACATGAATTACATGAGAAGTAGTTTTCTTTAATTAACTGGGTTTGTCAAATTTTAAATCTTTAACCAGTGAATAATCTCAGCACAACCTCGCCTAATTTACTAGTCGATTCTAAGCCCGCGCAAAAGAAGGAAGGTTGGGTGTGTGACTATAGACTCAACGCCGGAAAGTCAATCCAGTCGCTAAAGACACTTTGAAGCACAACGAAATATGAAGAAAACAGACTTATTTTTCACTGGAATTCGAAAAACGAAATAACGCAGGCTAGTGAAGGTATTCGAAGATCCAGTCAGCCGATGTGTTTTCTTCCCATGACAGCGAAAATAAGCTATAAGGACGTGGAATGCTCGCACAATGTTCGAAGTTGGGAACGCCGTTCAGATTGCAAAAGGAATCAGAAGATGATATGTAGAAGTGCTAGGAATGTGTAAGAGCAGATGGAGTCGAAGCGAACTCTATAAATTGTCAACTAGAGAAACAGTGACCTGCTCCGACCATCCAGTTGATGGCCACAATCACACTGGGCATGTGGCTGCCAAAGTTCTTATGCAGTCGGATCCAATCCTATCCATGATAATGAGAGCAACGTTCAACTCAAAAAGAAAGAAAGTGACAGTTATCCAATGCTACCCTCCTACATTTACCGCATATCAAAAAAGAATTCTATGGACAACTGAAAGTGGTGATGGGCCGGATCTAAGACGACGATTTCAAAATGTTGATTGTTGATTTGAACACTAAACTGGGAGTATGCAACACAGAGAGAGAAATCATGGTGAGTCGAGAGGCCATCGGTGAAATGCACGAGAACAGAGAATTCTTCACAGCCTTCTGTACTTTCAGTGATTCGGTGATTGGAGGTAGCGTGTACAAGCACAAGGATATATACCAGGTGACATGGATTCCACCTGACGAACACAGCAATATCAGGTAGACTTCACCTCAATTTCAAGAAAGTGGAAATACATTCTGCTAGAAAAAAAGAAGAAGAGGAGGAGATGCAAGGCAAGACCGTTATCTAGTCCAAGAAACCTTTGAGATCAAGCTGGAAGCATTCAAAGCAACTGGAGATAGACCATAATTCAAGTTCGACACTCAGAAACCGAAGGACGAAACTACATTTGACACGTTCACCTCAAACATTTGAAGTCCTGTCTTTGCTTCCTGCCTTTCTTGCCAACTTATTGGTTTTAGGCTGTAGGTCTTCGAGTCTGTGTGCCACTAAACACAAGTCATCCACGAAATCCAGATCTTCTAGAGTGTCCTCATCAGTTCAGAGTATTCCTGACGCATGATCCAGTCCATCACAGTCAGGAATAACATCGGTGACAGTAGGCAGCCTCGTCCTTTACCCCTATCTTCACTTCAAAGGTGTCAAGAATGAGGATGTCAAAGGCAGGATCAGAAAGTAATGGCAAACCTTAAATGATCTGAAATCAGTTTGGAAATCTGCTGCACCCAGCATAAGGGAACTACTTTCAGATTTTTAACACCAATGTTAAGTCGGTTCTTCTTTATGGGTCAGAGACGTGGAGCGCGCATAATAAAAAGTAATTCAAACAGGCTGCCGACTTTTATCAACAGCTGCCTTCACTAACTTGATACTAAAGATCAGAAGGGATACACAACAAGGAACTCTGGCAGCAAACCAACCAGGAACTTATTGTACAACGAATATGCCGGAGAAAATGAAGATGGATGGGACACTCGCTGAGGAGACCGTCAAGTGACATTGCGTGCCAGTAGGGACCCAAATGGGAGTCGGCCAATTAGGTATCTGACGATGACATGCAGGAGATCGTGTGAGGAGGAGACGAAAGTGGAACCAGCTGAAGAGGACTGCAGAGAACAAGACAAAGTAGAAATATGCTGTTGAAGCCCTATGTTCCACTAGGAACCTGAAGGAGTAATAATAATAAAGCCAGTTCTCTGGATTTACTGACTCATTTTCATTCTTATCCAATGTGTCACTAACTGAATGACGTAATCATCCCATTCGACATGATTTCCGAACAATGAGTTTTGTTCAAAATTCCACCTAGTAAACAGTACAACTCCACTGAGTGATATGTATAATAAATAAACTAATATAAAATGAGATACGAATAAACTGTTTAAGATTTGTAAATATGTTAATGTGTAATTCCCTATTGCTTTGACCATTCCTTTCACTTCGTTTTGTACTGTTGTTAGTAATTTACACTGCTTTTTGCTACCACACATTATCGAATATTGTGGAAAACAATCACTCGACTTCATGCTTTACATAGATTAGCATATCAAGTTTATTTATTTATTTTTATTTATTTTATTTTATTATAGCTTGAAACCACACAGCATTTTTGGTACAAGTATGAAATTTTCAGCATGCAATATCGGTTGCCCAAATTTAGCAGGCCGACCATAGATATCAGGTGTGCGTCGGCGGGGGATCGAACCTCGGACCATGTGCATGGTCGGCGAGAGTCCTAACCGCTGTGCCACCGACGCGCACTCATAGACCAGAAGTAAATAGCGGATTACGACGTCTACTTAGAAAATATTTTAAACAAAAGTCACTCGAAAATTTAAAACAACTTACAGTTTTTGGATAGGCGTAAATAATCACTGATGTACATCCGATAACAATGCAGAGAAACATTAAACCCACACATGCCTAATAATTCCAATTAATTAAACTTTATTGCATTAAATTAGAAATTACCATAATGGCAGTGAATCGGTTGGTGTGTGTGAAACTGTAAAAACTGATTAAGCCAAATAGTACAGTTAGTATTCCACAGGCCAGAATAGTATAAATCCCCCCGAAGAATACATATTTTCCGAATATTTCACCCATATATTCAAAAGTAGCCAGTGTATATCCCGTGAAAGCACTCAAACCTCCGCCTAACAGCTATACAGCTTAAGTGAAGGAGTTTTAATATTTCACTTACAATAACAAACAGGCAAAGTAATGAACCGATGATCCGTAAAAGTATATTTTTCCTGAATTGATTTCTTCCCATTATCCTGTATGAAATAAAGATTGATATTTATGTTCAGAGAGCGCTTACCTTTACTTCAGTATTGCAAGAAGGATTCAAATGTTGGTACTGCTCATTCCAGGAAATCTGTTTTAACCTAAAAGTCAAAATAATAAATTATTTTCCTCAGTTTGAAGTAAAGTTGATCTGAGAATTTATTATTTCTCGATACTTAAATTCCTTTTAATCCCATGCGGAAAGTGCTACACACAGAGTTTACGACCTATAAAGGAAGTATGCTTTCCTGTTATCCTGAAAGTGTTGGTATTTTGATTAGTATTAAAATATTTATCATTATTAAATGGCAATATAACTACGGACCACTGACGATTTTAAAAGCACTGAATAGTCCTTTAAAGGCCGTTGCACAGTTCCTCAGTCCTGTACAACGTTCCCTACTTGATTTAGGCTTGAAGAGAGAATCCTCTTTCGTATTTCTAATAGTATAAAATAAGAAGACCTTGATTGCATCAGAATGCAAACTAGGAGCAGTAGCATTCAAAATCTGCTTTAAAAGACACTTTAGCCTCAGTCATCACTTTCATAAATGATCAAAACCAATATGTCTAACTAAGAACTTTGAAGAAAGAGTCTTTTCTGTATTTGTGTACCACAAATGAAAGTGATATGTTGTTACAGACGACTGATATCAGATTTATTCACCTTTCTCATTCTATGACAGGCCGACTATCGTTTACTGGAATATTTTGAATGGTTTTGTGTCCAATTCTCTTAAAAAATACGACCGCCTGTCATTTCAGCCTTGTAATAACCACTTTTGTTTTCCCGATGCTGAACAAAATAGGTGTGTTTCATAAATAGTTGATCTAATAAGAAATAAGTAGGGATAAGCACCCGAAAGAAGCCATTAGTCTATCGAAATGTCATTCCAGAATTGTGATCTCTTAGGATATAAGAGATTAGAAGAATGCCAAATAAGACAAGAAACCTTTAATTTACCAGAATAGAAGTTCCATACTTTATCAAAAAATATTAACTCTATAGAAGTGCATTTCAGTAAACTATCCTAATATTATCCATTGTCAACTCATTTTGCTTTAGATACATAAAGCAAATCAGCTACAAGTTTCCCCTCAAAGCCAGTCTACATGAAAAATAAGAGACAGACAGCTAACTTATCCAGAATTTCAAACGATATATCTAACATTTTCGAATTAGATATTTATTAGTAAACTTGCTTCAACGCACCGGGTTAAAAAGGCATAACTAACTGACTGATTTTCAGCACAAAACTTAGCACTTAAGTGTGGCAGTTCATTTTGCAACATTCTACGTTGCACACAAAGATAGAAAAAGGGAATAAAAAGAACCATAATAAGCAGAAATGCACAGGTGAAACAACGGTAACATGAAAAACATGAGGATTTAATGGATATTCTAGGTTAAAAGGAGTGAACACACGTGTACCATTGAGAATGATTTCAAGCTATATCTCCATAAGTCTCCAGTCATTGGTTCTCAGCACTTGAAGGACGCCAACCAGGTTTTCCATATCTCCCTACATGACTCAGTCTAACAATCAAGAACTTAATCATCGTGAGAATAAATATTGTAGGTATTCTACAGATTTAACGCTGATAATAAATTATTACACTTAAACTTTGGCAGATAATACACTTATAAAAAGTCAAAAGTTTAAAGAAGTTAAGACTTCTATTTGTTCACACATTATTAACGATTTTAATTCTTAAAGTTGTCTGTAAATCACATCATACAATATTAAAATGTACTTATGGTTCCTTAAAAGAAGCTAAAGATGAATTATTTCAAAGTACACAAAATTTAGGGAACTCTGTGGAGGAGGTGCTTTTGTCGCTGTATAGAAGTCTTGATCTGAAGACTAAATCTGAAATAATATTGTTTTTGTGGAAGTACAGCTTCAATTACGCCACAGTTTTTACCTTCACCCTCATAAGAGCCGTCCAAAAAGCCATAAAGCTATTGATACTACCCATTTATTTCTTCAATTAGTTACTTTTATTGTCTATAAAGACAAAATATAGACGTTACTGTATCAACTAATCATGTCTTCACATGAAGCCTACAGCAATTCTAAATGCGACTTTATAAATGTCGTCAAAATGAATCTGTGAAAAATTGTACCAGAAACTCGAACTTCAACCGACGAGTCATCGGCTCAAGCAGCACTTCAAGCACTGCGATTTCCGCAGCCAGATAGCATAAGCAGTCTGTATAGTGTCATACATATATATTAATCTCATAAGCTTGTTGAGTAATACAGATGTCACCTTTATTGTCGTCACTGGAAACGTATTACCTTCTAGTTTATTTAGTCGATGAAACATAACAACTGAACGTTGAACTTACATAGAAGCGAGATTTCACATATAGACGTATAAAAATACTTTCTAGGCATCTTATACACCTTTATAAAACGGATATTTTGATGACTGCCTTCAATTCTAGACCAATAATGATAAGAAACTTTTTATACCACTAAAACTGTCAGAACTGTTATTCGCCACCAAAATATATTTTCTGACTGAATGACCACATAAAATTTTACAAAATAGGGCAGTGGAAATAAGGTGACCACTGATTTTATTGCTATCATATCAATTCACAGTTTTGAAACATCTGTTACCATTACGTTTTCGAACCAACTGGTATTTAAGAAACATTCATCCTCAGATTCGTCTCTGTCGAAATATTATGTGTAATTTAACTTATATCTCCTCATTCGTCAAGCATAAACTTATGCGTTGGTTTCTTTTTAAAATGCAGGCTACATGTGATTAATATAAATGATATAATCCAAAAATCAAATGTCAGTCCTGTAATTATATCTGGAAGGTAATTTTACTAGAAAACTCACTGAACGTTTTCAGTTAGCATGTGAACTACTTCTTATTTTTCAGAATACACATTACAGAATTAGTTTCATAATTTATACGACGTGCATTTTTCCGTCTAACAGGAAATATCCACTTTTGTGAATAATTCGTTTGGGAAACCTGATCTTCCTATCCGGCGAATTTTATTCAACCATTTCTTCTTCACCGAGCCTGTGTTTAGTACTTCCCACTGTCTCGAACTACTGCCCAAGCTTCAGGTGCTACTTCTGTAGCAACATCCCCCTCACTCTTTCAAATATACAGGACTTGGTGGTCTGTTACGTGATTGTTGTGAAGCCGAATAACCCGAAAGTTACAGGTAAAGTCAAAAGCTTTTACTTATATACTTTATCTTTCCGTTCTGTGCTTTCTACTGTCTTTTGCTGTCAGTCTATTGGACAAAACAAAACTCTCTCTTATCATTTAATCATCGGTATTATTTTAGGAGTAAAATGACTATAGATTCTCATCCCAAGATAAGTAATGGGAGACCATGCACCGTAGTCACCAGAGCTTCAGCCAAACTAAGCAAACAGGTGAATAGTATGACACCTATATCCACAGTAGGCCTTGAAACAAACAGGAAGGCCAATAAGAAACGTTCACGACGTCGCAAGACGACTACAACGTTCCCCAAGAAGGCAGACGATTGCAAGGTCTGCAATTCTATTGTCGAACAAGCAGATTCTGCTTTCGAATGTAACTTTTGTAAGCAATGGGTACATTGTAGATGTGACACCGGGGTACCAAAGGTATATTACGATTTTATGCGTAAGAACCCATGCCCATGGTTCTGGTACATTTGCCCAAGTTGCCGTCCTAATGCAGCCTCGTGTAGTTCCTCGAAAGCTACAGATGTCATAGAGATATCAGGAAAAAACGTGAAACGTTTTACTCCCACCAACTCAGAAAACAGCACAATTGCATGTAAATCGGGGATACCAAAATCCACACCGGTTATACTTGCAATTCCTGCCATAACCGCCCCAGACACAGAGGTTGAAGCACCAAGGGTACCTGTCGCCGGGAAAAGACCCTTACCGTCCACCAGTAAAAGTGGCCACAGCACTGCGACACATAATAATACCCAGTTGCACCAGATGAAACAAAACGGTCTTAAGGGGGATGACAAATGTGCGAGGACCGAACCTAAATCCACGGTCAGTCGATCAAACTGCGTTATCCTCTTTAATGTACCAGACTGTAGCAGTAGTCTGCTGGAAAACAGGGCCCTGTTTGATCAGGAACAGTGGTCCAACTTATGTAGCACACTGGGTCTGGACATCCAACCAGTAAAACTGTGCAGATTGTATAAGGGCACTGCTGCTCCTCAAGGCAAACCATCCCCACTGAGGGTAACACTAGGCTCTGCCGAAGATGCCGAAAAAGTTTTATTGACTTCCCAAGTCCTTTCTATAGGGAGGACCTGCAATATACGTGTTAGGCCAGATAGGCCATGGAAGGAAAGACAGATGGCGAGGGAGTCGCCAGAGCTTATTCCTTCTGCCTCCATGGTTGTTCACGGCATTCCTGAACTGGAAACTGGGAACGCTTGTGAGAAGCACTGTCACGATGTCCAGCAATGGAGATGGTTGGCATCCCAGATGGGTCTGGGAAGTTCAGGGGCTGTCTCTATTTTTAGACTGCCTCGACCCACTCACCTAATGTCAATTAACACCCCACATCTGTTAGCTGTTAAGTTTAGCTCCCGAGACCACTTGACTACTGCTCTCCAGAGATGGTACGAGACCAAAGACAAGGTCAGCAGACACATTCGCTGCTGCGAGAGCCGGCCTCGTACCCAAAGGAGAGAGCAAAACGTTGTCATAGAACATCCCCAACCCCTAGTCACAATACAGCGGTGCAGCACGGACGATGATAGCCAGTGCCATCCAAGTGCTCCGATTGAATCAGAAGAAAAAAACTCCAACAGGCCGGTTCCCGGGGAATCGGCCAACTAGTTCGTAGGATAACTCCTCAACCGACAGCCCACATCACGTCAACCACCCCCCAATACGGGGACGTGGTGAGACTGACTACCAGTTGCCTGTACAGTAATGTGAGAGGTCTAAGAGGCAAAATAGCTGAACTTAGATACCTACAATCACAGCTGAACTCCAAAATCATAATACTGACGGAAACCTGGCTAACCCCTACGGTGGCAGACAGCGAAGTCAGTATAAATGATATGGTCCTTGTCAGGCGAGATAGGGATCTGAAAGAAGGAGGTGGAGTCGCCATATACGTCGACAAACAGCTCAGATGTGTCCATGCAATCGACCCTCCCCTCATTGAGCTCCCTGACTCCATATGGTGCCATTTCACCGTTGGGTACTGTAAGTATCTAGTGGGCAGCATTTACAGATCACCTTCATGTGGAGCAGACCACAACCAGGTACTGCTGAATGCAATTTCAGCGACACATGACCTGGGTTATGATCAAATTGTCATAGCTGGAGACTTCAATGCCCCATCTCTTAACTTGATGACGGGATGTGCCCAGGACAGATTTGATCGAAATCTGCTGCATACCATCACGGAGGCCGGATTCACCGAAAATGTCAGAATGGATACTAGATGGGGCCCAGATGGGAAGTCTTCTAGACTGGATTACGTGCTCACTAGTGACCAGCTACTAGTGGAAAACGTTCAGATCACGACTCCCATAGGTAGTAGTGACCATGCGGTCATAACATTCGACATAGTCCTCCGCGAGCGTTTACAGTGGGACAATACACAGCCCTATCTGTGTTATAACAAAGCCAATTACACCGAAATGCGAAGACTTTTGTCTGAAGCAAATTGGCCAAAAAATTGGACAGAGCTTACAGTAGAAGAACACTGGAGAGTGGTAAAGGAGATCATTCACCAGGCGATCTCAGACACTGTTCCTTTGGTCACACCTAAAGCTAGAAAGCAACGTTCATGGCTAAAAAGGGGGACACAACGCCTTCTACAGGCGAAGCGAAAAGCCTGGTTTGCGTGGCGAGTATCGCAGAGTCAACCCGAACATGAAGAGTACCTCGAACTCAGGAATCGGTGTAACATACGAGTCCGGAGTGATAGAAGGACATTTCAGAGAAACCTCGCCAATAAGCTTCTCGTGAACCCCAAAAGCCTATACAGGTTTATGTCTGAAAGAAAACCGACCAACCAGGGAGCTTGCAATATAGTGGGTTCTGATGGGAAATCTCTTACTAGTCTTGAAATGGCAGAGACATTCAGTCTAGCCTTTCACAGGCAACTGAACAGTAACGAGGATTTTACCCTCACAAAACATCAAGATTACAATGCAAGACCAACGTGCGAAAACCTGCTGGGTACATTTCAAATTACCCCGGCTATGGTACTCATAAAATTGGGAAAGTTGGCTTCGGGAAAGTCTGCAGGTTGCGACGACATAAGACCATCCGTCCTGAAGCAGTGTTCAGAAAGTCTCTGCCAACCCCTAAGTGATCTGTTTCAACACTCCTTTGATGTAGGGAAACTTCCATGTGAATGGAAACGAGCCATCCTATCCCCTATCTTCAAGGGTGGTGACCGGCAGAACGCGACCAGTTACAGACCAGTTGCGCTACTCCCAGTGATATCGAAGATATTCGAAAGTCTCATTGACGACCACATGAGAAAATACTTCGACGGGACTAACCTACTCCATGAAGCACAGCATGGTTTCAGGAAGGGAAGATCCTGTGTGACGAATCTTCTACTGGCTTGGAACGATTGGACACTATCCTGGGATGTAAAGGTACCAGTCCATGTGATCTTTCTCGACTTTGCGAAAGCATTCGACACAGTTCACCATGGTCTGCTCCTTCACAAAATAAGCAAAGCGGGTGTTTCTGGAGCACTTCTCGCATGGCTGGAAGATTATTTAGGCGAGAGAGAATTCTGCACCAAAGTCAACCGCATCCGATCATCCTGGCACACCTCGGCATCAGGGGTTCCTCAGGGTTCTATCTTAGGGCCGTTGATGTTTTTGATTTTTATCAATGACCTGCCCTGTCAACTGAATTGCTCTGCGCTTCTTTACGCTGACGACGTAAAGATTTGGAGAGCAATAAACTCATCGGAAGACTCCGACAGATTGCAGGCTGACCTGCAAACGCTGGGGGACTGGGCTCTGGCTAACGGAATGCCTTTCAACTTAAAGAAGTGCAAAGTAGTGCAACTTCATTCCGGCAGGTCACAGAGTGCAAATTACACCCTTGGTGGCCAGAACTTGAGTTGTGTGCCATCAGAACGCGATCTAGGCCTTATTTTAACAGAAAAGCTAGACACCAGTGTAAATTACACGAGGGACGTCGCCAAAGCTTACGGCACTTTACACTTTATGCATAGGCAACTGGGAGCTCTTACTCCTGAACTATTCCTAACGTTGTATACGACATACGTGAGGCCACTCCTTGAGGTGCATAATATCATTGCTCCTCCGCTACTCAAAAGGGATGCTAACATGCTAGAAAGTGTCCAGAGACGAGCGACAAAATGGGTGATCGGCCTCCGCAACAAATCATATGAGGAGAGACTGAAGAAATTAAGTCTTTTCACACTTAGTTACCGTAGTCACAGGGGAGACCTCCTCACCGTCTATAAGATCCTAAATGACCAGGCCCATCCTAACAAGAGCATCCTGCCATTAAGTGATTATAGGCTTCCACGAGGTAACCCGCTAAGGATAGCACACCAGAGACCAAGGACTCGAGTGCGTTCACATTTCTTCTCGCTTCGAGTTTGCCGTCTCTGGAACGCTTTACCGGCGGCCGTAACTACAGCTCCATCTGTGGAGATTTTTAAGCGGAAGCTGGACAATCATGCAGAAATGCATGGTTTGTGTCTCAATGGCTTACCCTCTTAAAATTTGAAACCACATTGTCAATGGATAAGCATACAAGCTAAATCTTCACGACCCGTTCTGTCTTCTCCCACTGTACCGACTACTCTATCTTTCTTTCTTTATTATTTCACTTATCTCAACCTATATTATCTACACTACAACCTATTATTATCATTATCATTATTATTATTATTACTCTACTTTTATGACTATACCGAATGACCGACGGGTGTTAGGTCAAACTCCATTCACGGCAGCAGCTGAGTCCTAACATACTGCACACTACAAACCACAATCTTGACCAATCCTCGCATCACTCCTCCTGGAGTCTACCAGAGCTAAAGCAGTCGAGTGGCGGGATTTACTACGCATAAGTTCACCGAAGATCTGGAACCTCTACCTTAAAATCAAGAAGCGAGCTCAAAGAAATCACTGGTTTATACTAGCTCGTAATCAGGATATTGGATATTGGATATTGGATATTGGAAAGAGACAATTTTCTAGCATACCTGAATTTAGGTAGTAACCAGTTTAATGAGTTAGCAAAACATTTTCAACTCTACTCTGTTGATATTTTTAAGGAAATGGAAGTCGAATCGCATAACGTAATGTGATTCTTTGAAATATATATGGCAGATAACCAAGAATTAAACCCTCAGACATTAGATTTAGAAATTTAAGTGAAATGTTTTGTGGAGAAATAATACCGGGAAACAAACTTATTGCAGTTTATAACTTATTAAGAGCTTCTTTAAAGCTCAACAAACTCAAATAAAATAAACCAGAGATATTTTTGAATTCATAAACTTCTAGGTCACCGAAGTATACAAGAAAAGCTGCAAGTCGTAATCTTCACATTTACAAGTAACTCAAAGACTAACGGAAAGCAAGAAACAAATAAAATTTTATGAATGCATGCCTATGCATATGTCATGTGCATAAATTATCTTCAACTTACGAAACTTTTGAAAAAATATCTCTGTCATGTAAACAGTGGTGAATTATTAAAACAATTGTCATGTATAAAATTTACACTCAACATGCAGATTTCCTTTAGATCGAATAGATTTCACGTAGCAAGTCTCCAGAAATGCGAAGAAAAAGTTTAATAGAGAGTCAAATCAGTTCCCATTTCCATCTGAAATTCAGACACTTCGCCAATGATATAGGTCGAGAAGAGAGATCTCAGACAGATCCCTGGTTGCGAGGACCACTGTGTGTTGGCTGTATTATGTTCGGTTAGTGCATTCTTATACACTCCCAATACTCTACCTAAATGCGTTCTAGAAGAGGTGTATATATCCGTCCTCCTTATTGGCGTGACCTTATGGCCTTGTGTGGATGAATTTATGGTGAATTCGGAAAGGCACTAAGAGGGTTTTGCAGGCAAGGCAAAAGTGTATATCTGAGCGAAGGGCGCACAGCAGCCATGAATGAGGTTTGCAATAAAATGAACTTGAAACCCTTCAAGAGTCATACGCAAAATAATTAGCAGTCAGACACATGAATGAATTATACTCCATAATTACAATTTTCCTTTTCTAAAGACTTGATTCCCACAGTCTGACAGTGCATGATACAGTTGAGCACAGAACACTTCAAACCTGCTGACTTTGGCTACCAACCCATCCTTGCCGCGGAACCCTAATAACAACAAACAGTTATATGCTACAAATGAAAAAATTCTAATTTTCATTCAATATCCCCACAAGAAATATATGCATGACTTTACTCCGAAAAACTCCAAGATGCTATTGCCATGATGATACTGACCCACTCAGTTTTTAGAAACATCATTTACCCAGTTCTCTGCAGGCTGGGAAATTCATTATGTCTTTACACATTCCTTTGGAATACATAGTTGAATAGATTTGCTTAATCAATACACAAGCAAGTATAGTTGTGACGTTATGTTTAATACATATTAATACTAAACTTTACCAATCGCTTTCTATTTACTTTTAATTTACCTTCAAACTCAAACATTACCGACTCGAAATTCTCGCGACGATTCAAATCTTTTGAGGGTGACTAATACCTCTGTATTGCTTTCGATCCTGAATTTGACAAACTCTTATGTGTTTGAAACGATTTTCCTGATGCAAATGTAAGAGACGAATTCTTCCAGACTTCTCCAATAAATGATGGTTGATTTTTGTTGTGGGTTGGACATCATCATCACCATTGTCTTCTCAAAATTCGCCTGAGGTTCTGTCTTCACTGACCGTCTTTTCTGCCTTCATTTGGTTTCCGCCTATAAGTTTACGAGGTAGTGAACCAATTGCACATAAATCGCCAGCGAAATTCAGCTCTTCTAGGAACTTTGTTGGATCGCCGTATATCCGTCTTCTCACTCATTATGGTCCACAGCATGATTCAGTCCACCACAAACAAGAGAGACATTGATGCTATCATGAACCGTTGTATTTCTCCCGACTTGAGAAGAAATATTTCGGTAAACTCTTGGTTGTTTTTCTTCCACGAAGCAGTAACCTTTCCTCTCTTCCTAGCCTTTTGCAGTTGTATACTAAGCATATACTATGACGTCAGTAAATAAGGTCACAGTGCTTCTCGAGTGATTTCAACTGGTTCAGACGGTTTCCCAGATTCTAAAAGCACTATAACTTATAAGAAGCACGATTAAGTTGGAGGATGAGTATAAACCGATAGTAATGTGTATCCTAATACTATTTCAGCTTATATATTAAGAGTTAGGCAAATCCCAAGAGAAGAAAGGGTACTAGGAACAACAAAAAGGCACCTATAATGACAGAGTTAAATGTACAAACAATATGAGAGATAAATTCCAGCTATCGTAGATATATAGAATACCAGGGAATAACATGGGCTAAGTGAAACTACGATAATTCTCTACGCGGATAACCCAAGCATTTGGAGGGCTAAGGGGTGATGATGTAGTGTTCATGATGCCAGATTTCAACAAACTGTTATATTCATCCAACGAATAGATGCTTCCAAGTAACTCTGAAAAATGCGCAACCACATGCATTGGACACGCTAGCGTCAGCTCATACGAACTCCAGGGAATAAGACTCCCATAAGTTCAGGCCAATACAGATCCAGGTGTCATAATAAGTCATAACATATGAACAATAGCATACCATCTCCCGGTGGCAGCTCGAAGTCTAAGAATATTATGATCAATGTTTAGACCTTTACTAGAATCATCAGTGATATGTCCACTTCTTTACAAATATCTAGTGAGGAGAAAACGGGAAAACTATATCCAGTCCTTGTTTTCGGTGGGACCCATACAGTCTAGAAGGGGTTGTAATGAAGAGAGCAATTATGATTCTTGATATGAGTAATTTATCACGCGAGGAAAGACTTAACAGTCTGATTCGCCTCTCCCTGTCACACCACAGGCAGGCAGGAGACCAAATCACAATGTTTTAAATTCTAAGGAGTGATTATAGGCTTTGTCTACCTTCTCTTTCGCTTCCCACCAGGTAAAAACATCCCCAGAGGACATAGCAAGAGAGTTCAAAAAACCAAGGATGTATTATATGTTTTTTGTCTTCATTATGCCTCGTAACAAAGCTACTTTATTTTTACTCTTTTAGCGCTTTGAAAAATTAATCTACACTAAAACGAACAGTCTTCTCCTCTAAAGCCCTGTATCTACTGGATTCGCTCATGCATCGATGCACAAATTACAGAAAAATGAAAATAAACATTAAAATTACGTGCTGTTAACCTTGGAGAAGTAAAGCAGCCAGCTCAGCTCCAAGCTGTAGGTCGTTACACGCCACCGCTCCTTTCTGGATTTCATCACGCAGTTGCAGCACAACAAGATACCGCGTATACTCGTCGTGCAGATTGTGTGGATCAGAGGCGAAGAATTTCACCTTCAAAGAAAACAGAAAAGGCGGCCCACCTAGAAAACAAAAGAATCGAATAAATGCTATATTGCTAATACGTTTATCCAGCTGACACGAAAATCTACAGCGTACATCAGTCAACAATTTAGAAATACAGAAGAAACACGGAGATGTGATATGCATTTACGTCCAAAAATGTAAATTTCAACTGTGCCAGTGCATGTAACAATAATTCTACTCACAGACGGACGGTGAGACGTAGATCAAATTTCCCATTCGTATAAGGAAGCAAGAAGCCCAGACATGATACCCACCACTATATTGTTAGTAACTGGTCACTCCTCTGGAGTAATACTAACAATGTTCTACAATGTATAAGCAAGTTACGTTAAAACTGATTCATGTTTGTTCTGATACATTACAAGGCTTTCAGAGCATAGGTCTATACACAAGTTATTAAGCGTTTGGACTAAGGATAACCATTTAGTCGTCATGCCAATATACTGAAACGGCATGTGAAACAGTTCTAAAGACTGTGTGTGTGTGTGTTGTAAAACGGATGAGTCAACCATTTACTTACAACCTAATGACAGCTACATTAAAAAAGCATGACGCCTGTGTTGTAAGCGATACGAAATAGAAGAGAGTGAAAATTATGCTTTGACTAAATGTAAAAGTTATCTTAGCCACACTGATATTAAAAGTGGATACTTGAAACAAAAGTGAGCCCCAAAACCGCTCAAACAAATTCAACATATACGGTGGCGTCCTCATCAAGTATACTTATAAGGAAACCTCATTAGCTCCTGGAGAGTAAATAGAGAGTACAAACCTTATTTTTCATAACTAAATATCACCTCCTGGCCAGACGTCGAATCAAAGATTCAGATGTACGATTTCCGTAGTTTATATTAAAAACCAATTTAAATTATGTGAATCATATTACTGATGATTCTTTGAGGATTATACAGGAAACTACGTGTGCTCCAGGATACTATGTGAAACACCACGTATGAAAATCTCGCGGGAAATATACTATGACTAACAGCTGTAAAGCAAACCCTGAACCACTCAAAAATCGTGAGTGTTTGTTAGTCGTCAAAGTTGATTATTTTTAGAGGCTTTGCACTAAAAATTTGTTGTGGAGTGTAATTTTAAGTAGATATGCATAAGGGAATTCGGAATTGAAACGAAATCGCTTGTCAAGTTATTCTCCAGGTCTATTGAAAATCAATTGTCCTTAATGATAGCTCTATCAGTCTAATTATAATACAAATCCATAAATTTATACAGACAGATACAACTAACACATTTTTATAAATCCAAGACATGGAATTATAACCAACTTTTACACTGCTTCCTAACTTCCTTCGTCGGGTCCAACCAAATCTGAGACAGTGTGTTATTTAAATTCCAATTGACATACCGGAACTTGGCTTGAATAACGCAGGCCGAAATAATCCTTTTCTTCGATAAGTGCAACATACGCAAATGCTATGTCGATAAGTTCGGCCCCCTTTGCGTTTTTCTGCAAAACATGAGTCACATACATTTTAAAGCATTACCGGAACATAAAAAGTCTGCTCAGTGCCATCAAGATATACTACTTTACATTCCAAATCTGATTTCTTAATCTTTTTGGATTTGTTAACGGATACCGATTCTTCTACATGGCTTGGAGTAGGTGCAGGGGGATTTCGGCGGAACCTTTTGCTGAAAAAGCGAATAATTGCTGCCATGCTTTTGTGAACAAGTTAGGTCTTCTTGATTTCGTGAAAAACAACAACCTTGCGAATTTCAACAATATTGACAAAGACAAACAAATAGGATAAAAGAAGTGATTTACAGCAACTGAATTTCATACTCTGGATTATTTCTCCAACAAACAGTATTTTGCATCATATTTAGACGTCTTTTGTGACAAACAGCCTTGAAAAACAGCGAATCAAAGGTATAGAGAATGGTGTATTGTTACCTTATTTTCTGATTGATTCTCGGGTAGGACCGCTGTTGAGGAGGTGTTAATAAAACAAGCAAGATAGGGAGTCGTTTAAGCAATAGTTATGTTTGACTCACTACTGGTTTCTCGTGAGTAGGACCAGTGGAAACATCTGTATCAGTAAATATCCCCCCAAAATTATCA